GCTAATCCCATCCACATTCCCAAAAGTCCCCCTAAATTTGATATAAAGTCTATTCCAGTCATTTGTGTGTTSACAGTGTTCGACCAACTTATCCGTATGTCTAGAATGCTTGATATAGACACTTAACATAGAATTATCCCATCGATTCAATTGCTTAATATTTTGTTGATCTAATAATGTTGTTATATAATTAAATTCATAGCATAAATCTGGCATAAAACTGTTTATCGCAAATTTCCTGAATCGGTAGTTTACAGGAACCATAGTCTATAATTCCGAAACACATCGACACATTTTCAACGACCAAATAGTCTGGGATTAGGCTAACATCCCATGGGATACAGTTATTATTACAGTTGATTATATTATCGTTATTATCGACACAACATCTACCATTTTTAGCTGCCATATGCTGTTGAAAGCACTGGTAAATGCAATCGGATCGGGTGCGGTGCTTTTGTCTACCAACAGTGCCATTATAATCGTAAATATTATATTCACGACAATTGGTGTCCCACGTGGGCGGCAACCTTATGGTCTTTGTCGTTGAATATCCAATACTATAATAATTATTCAAATGTAAGGAAAAATAATTTTCGTCATATAAGTTGCGGGGCGTGTTGTTTGCCGAATGCATTATTAGATACAACGGTCTATTGTCGTACAGTGTGGTCGGAAACCATTGTTTATTGTGGACGACCTTAATAAATATTGAATCCAAATGTGTTTTATATTGTCGATATTCCGGATTAAGTTCAGTAAAATATGTAAAACATTTAGTTGGATAACTATACGCTAACGTAAACGATACAATTGGCCGAAAATCAATGATTTCTTTAAATTTGTTGTCAAAAACTTTAATCCTTACCGATAAATATTGGTTACTATTTGTTTTATTGGCATCGTTTGAATCGTAAATCAAATATGGCACCGTTAGATTAGTTTTGTATATATCAAGTAATGGTAAATTTTTGTTAATATAATAATCAACAAACTGATTATACATAATTAATAGATCGATTTTCAATGTATTATTATCATAATCACTGTCACTGAGATTGTCTATTAGTTGTCTATATTTTGTATAATTTTCACGTAATTCGGTAAATCGATTGGCCAGTGCGTCCATACTTAGAGCGTACGGAAAGCATAGGGTGAAACCCGGCAACAATTCATTGTTAAATCGGACATTATTTGTAGTAACCAATGTCTTACCGCTGTTGTATTGTTTGATTAGTTGGTATGACTGGTATAGTAGTAGTGAAGCGCAGACAACAAAAAATAATATCTTAATAATCATTTGGCATTTCTGTCGGCCACTCATTTCCAACCATTTAGTCTTAATCTTATTAAAAGGTTGTTTTTGTGTAATATTATCAGAAACTTTTGATAACAAATTACTGTATGAATATAAATCATATATCGTATTGCTATACATTTTATTATTTTATATTTTATTGCCATTGAAGTTGACGGATATCCAGAAGCCAGACATCGACGAAGACATTGTTGTTGTTGTCACCGATACCGGCGATTACATAGACTATACAGTTGTTGTTGTTATCGGCAAACAATTGACGGACACATCGGTGACAACGACGGGCTTCAGTGAAAACCACTCAACTGTTTGTTCATAATATTCAGATTACATTTGGTCTTTACTTCAGTCCATTTGCTATTATATATTTGATTTTATTTCCACGTATTCCTGAAAGGAATACGTATTTGAATTCTATAAGTCTGTAGGTCTATCTGTCTGTTTGTTTGTCCCACGAGGACATAGGTTCGAATCCACGTTCAGCTAAAATTTTTTTTGTGATTTTTTAAGTTTATTTTTCATGAAAATAAACATAATGGTGTCCATTAATTAATAAATTTTTTTTTTAATTTTTAAGTTTATTTTATTAGGAACATAAAGAAAATAGTGTCAAAAACTTTTTTTTGATTTTTTCTTTTTTAAGTATGGAAATGCTTTTGAAGCATTCTCAACTGGTTATAGATAATTTTTTTATACTTTAATATAATTTTAAATTTTTATTTTATTTTATTAGTATACTGTGATTGACTGATTTGCTTCAAATGTTTTCATAATTTTTTAAAAGTATTTTTTAGTAACTGAAAGTAAGTTAATTATTTAATAATTTATTTAATGTGTTGTCCATCAAAATGTTATTTTTATATAATATTTATTATTATTATTAATACAATTAATTTTTTAGTTTAATTGGTATTCAAATACAAAGTATTTTTTGTTGTTACTAATAATACTTGAGATTTACATGTCGTTTAAATTGTAAAATTAAAATTTCATTATCTAAAAAATATAATAATAAAAATAATAATGAACTAACAGAAAAAAACAATTTTAAATATTTTAAACTTTATTTATTATTTTTTTATATTAATTATTTACATTGATGTCGTTTAGACTGAAAAAAAATTAAATAAAATAATTAACAAATTATTAGTTAAATATACAGTATAACTATTATGTGACTAATAAATAATATATAAACTTTATATAATACCTGTTTGTTATTATCAATGCTATCATCATTACTGTCCATATTATTTAATTGTCTTTTATTATTATTAATATTATTATTATTATTATTAAACACTTGTTGTGTATCGGCTGTAGTCGACCGGTTGGGTTGGACATCATCATCGTTATCATCAACTGGTGCCCATTGATAAGCACTACCACCACTGGTTCCTTCACCAAATTCATTAGTTGGGTCTAGTAATACCACTGCTAAAGCACCGGTAGATAATAATAACATACTATTATTTAATCCGACAACAATTTATCATTACCTTTATCGTCGGTCTCGTTGTCATACATATCACTGATCATTGCTATTGTTTGTTGGATTAAATCTTGTGAGTCTTCATCACTACTAGTTTTAGTAGTTTTGTTGAATATATTCAAGTTTTTATAAGTCGACAATAAATCCAAAACATTATCAAATGTGTGGCCAAATATTTCCGATAACATAAAACGATTGGCACTCGTATTAAATACCGGATCATTGGATGCTAACAGTGCACCCATACATTCACGTATAGCCTGTTGTCCAGTTATGTTGTCTACCACTGATTGGTCTACTGGATCTGCTGGTGATTCTGGTGCTGATGACATGTCGTAGTCATTCATACTGGCATTAATGGCACTATTGGTGTTGTTGTTGTGGTCGCTAACTGTCTGGCCGTCTCGGGTCTCACCAATAGATGTGCTTAAAGCATTGAAATATTTGTGTATAAACTGTGATATATGTTGATCGTGGTTAACCGATGATGATGATGGTGATGCTACTGGTGCTACCAAATAGTTATCTATTAGTTGTTTAAGTTGACTATTATCTGATACACTAATTGATTGAAACAATTGTCTAATAGATTGCTGTATTTCCAAATTACGGATCCCATTCCCGGTATTTAACTGACCATTAGTTTTATTGTCTTTGTCTTTATCAGCACTGGTAGCTAATGTCGAATCAGCAGTTGTTTTCTGATTGTTATCATTGGATAATTTTGTACAAATTTTCTGATATTTTTGATTCAATTTTACCAAATTTTTCAATAATCTTACAATTTGTTTAATAGTATTTCTATTAAGTTATTGATAAAAAAAATATTTCAAAATATAGATTAAAAAAATAAATTATTCAAAGATTCGACTTTTAAAAAAACTTACGTATATTTTGTCTCAAATATGGTATTAAATATATTTTTTGGTTCACATATTCCATAATAATTAAATTGAATATCAATATCCAGTGTCGATATTTTGGGAATATATTCATGAATATTACAAATAAATTCCGTCCAATCGATTACAGAATCAATTAATAGATTTTTTTGATTAAAAATTTTCAAAACATTATTAACAACATATTGAAAGTCAGTTTTATAATAAGCATATATGCTTTGGCTAAAAAAAATTAAAAAAAAACATATTTTTACTTCATTATTTTATTTAATAATATAAATAATTAAAAAATAAAAATAAAATTATACTTACATAGTTGTTTTTCGCAATTGTTTAATTTTATTTTCCAATTCATCTAGATTACTAAAAAAATTATTTTAAAATGTTTTTTTTAAATTATTTAATTTTTATGCTATGTATATATTATTCTATATATATATATATATATATATATATATTAATAATTTTCTGTATATACAAAAGTAATATATATATATATTTAAAAAATATATTTAAAAAATTTACTTACAATTCATCATCAGTTTCATCAATCAATGAATAATCATATTCTAGACTATGATTAAGATTTTCAATGGATTGATCATAATATTCATCATAATCTATGATAGTATCGCTATAAATAGTTAATTGATCATGATGATTTTTATTATTATCATCATCATCATCATCACTAATTGATAGTTTAAATAGACTATCAATATAATTATTAACAATTGAAATGTTAGAAATCTTTTCAAATTTCAACATATAATCAATTGTTGTACTTTTGGGTCGTTTTCCGGGTTCCCAGTCTATCATTGATTGTAATAGTTTACTAATAACTTGAATATTTGATTTGATTTTATTATCATAATTTTTTTGACTACTCCAACAACTGTTAATTAATAAAAAAATTATATTAATTAAAAAACTATCATTTTTTAAAAAAATAGATAACTTAACTTGATAATTTCAACAATTGATTCATATATTTTAACACTGTCATTGTTATTATTTTCAATTATGTTTCTATAGAAAAAAATATATTATTAATAATTTATAAATACAATAAACTCTAATAAAATTAATTTTTATATATATAAAAAATAAATACAATTTTTTTTCATTATATATATATAATAAATATTTCTAATGAATCCAAAAAATAGTATAATTTTTAACTATTTAACTAATATTTATATTAATTTTATATATAAATAGTTAATTGTTTAAATAATGTTATATATAAAATTTTTTTATATATCAATAATAAACATTTTTAAGTAACTTACATTATATCAATATCATTGCAAATGCCAAACAATTGCAATAATATAATACCCAGACTATAAATATCGCATTTTTCATTGTATAATAGCCTTTCATCGGTAAGTCCTTTAACTTCCGGTGCCCTATAGATACCTGTCCCACAATTATCGGTGTGCGAGTAGGACATAGACCCCGAACGTATATGATCTGAGGCCAAACCAAAATCACATATTTTGATAAACCGATTGCCATTAACCGGATTTTCAACAATAAGTATATTATCGGGTTTGAGATCTCTGTGAATAACCGGCGGATGTCTTGTATGTAAATATCTAACGGATTCACAAATTTCTAGCATTATATTACTTATAATATAATACTCTATACAATCCATTGCCGATACAGTTGACAATCGTTGAAATGTTTCAGACATTAATTCCGTAATAAATTTACGTAAACTTTGCGAACATAACTCCATTTGAATGTATAGTCGACTATTGTTTGGTTGAATCCATGCATCAAAATAGTGTACAACATATGGTGACCAAAGTTTACGCAATTTATTTGCTTCTCTAATATCATCTTTGATTAATCAATAAAACAACAACAAAAAATAAAATAATACATAAATAAATACATATATTTAAACACGGTAATAACTAATTTATATTTTTAAACAATAGTAATTAAATATATATATATATATATACCTATATCGTCGACAACTTTAATAGCAAACTGTTCGCCACTATTAATATGTTTATAAACATAGACTGTACCGAAACTACCCGAACCGATAATATTATCATAAATAGTATTATTATTATTATTATTATTATTATTATTATTATTATTACAATGTTTAACACATTTAGTAAAATTTTCAATTAGATAATTATCTCTCCAATCGTATTGAAAATAATTTAATAAATCTGATTGAACATCAATTATATTCAATGTTTCCTTATTTATATCGATAAATAAATCTAAAAAACTAATATATTCTAGTTTTGTTAAATCAATTACTGTTATATTATTTTGTTTCGTATTTAGATTTAAATTTAATTCATATATATAATTACTATCACTTTTTCGGATATAATTATCATGTATTTCCTCAACATTTTTCAAATTATCAATTAATTTAGGCGTTATTATCGGTGTTGTTGTTTGCAAATCATCGGTAGTAAGTGTTCCGCATTGATATACCTGACCATTGGTTGATAGGAAATATGTTTTCAATATTATTAAGTTATTTATGACTTTTGAATAAAATCCAATCGATTTAATTGAAATGGCTTTCAAATCATATATTAATTGTGGTTTATATACGCCTTTATTTCTATGACCCAATTGACCGAAATCATTATCACCCCAACTGTATACCCGGCCATTGATATCAATTGCAAATGAACTATTGGTTGTGCAATATATTGATTGAATTACTGTATTATCTGGAAATTCAACTAAAATTGGTTCATCAATACTGGTATCAGATGTACTATGACTACAATCGCACTGTCCTTCACTGTTATTACCCCAACCATAGACAGTGCCATCACTGGTCAGTGCCAGCGAATGATAATTACCGCAAGCAATGTCTTCAATGATTTTATTGTTAAAATATGTTATAATATCGGGTTTGTAGTACTCGTCATCATCATCATCATCACTGGTGGTGGTGGTGGTGATGATATGCCTTCCCAATTGATTGTATTGATTGCAACCCCAACTGTATATATGTTGGTCAACCCTATCATCATAACCATCACTAACACCTGAAGTAGTTGTAGTAGTAGTAGTCATACACAATGTAAAGTCATATCCAGTAATAATTTTTCGGATAGACTTTCCCCTTAATTCCTCTAATTCTTGTCTATCATTAACTGGATTGTTGTTGTGACCCAACCCTAGTTTACCGGAATCGTTGTCACCAACCGTATAGACTATGTCATCAATTGTCGTAAACCATAAACAATTAGTTTTACAATAAAATTGTTTGATTTGATTAGTATTTTCATTGTGTAATGAAAAATATTTTTTAATTTTATCAAATATATCGCACATATTATTTATATTATTATTATTATCATAATAGTCAGTATATATTTAAGGTATACAATACAATACACTACTAAAAAAAATAAATAAATTAATTAATTCAACACAATATAAATACCTGTAATTGTTACATCAATAAATATTATTATATATACAACTATTATATGGCTAATTGTAGTCATGTAAACATTAGATGATAACAAAATAAAATGGCATAAATCAAATTATTTCATAATATATATATATATATATATTAAAATATTATAAAGTATTATAATAAAATATATATTATAAATTGTATATATAAATTGGGCGCCATATTTAAATATTTGTTTAATATATATATATATAGTTAAAGTCAGTTATAGTTAATCAATGAAAAGAAAAAATAATATAATCAGCAAAAATTAATAATACTTTAAATATATATTTTTTTTTAAAAATAGGTAGCTTAAAAATATTATTATGGCTTAATATATAGTTATTTTTTTAAATATAAATGACAAATAATTTAATTGTAAAACAAATATATGTTTATAGTTTACAATAAATTTATTTAAAATAATTATAATATGAATAAAAATTAATTATATTATTATTATTTGACTAATAAGTTATCAATTTTTATTAATGCATATAAATATTATCAGTAAAAAATATAAGTTGAGTTAAGATAAAAATATTTCAATAATAATAATAAATTCATATATTTTTCTCATTGTATATAAAAATATTTCTGTCAATTAGATGATAATAATAATAAATATTTAAGTGAATATACAGTATATATAAGTTATAAAAACTATGGTAATAGTCATATCATTTTCAAATATTTTTTAATGGCTTATATGAATACCCAATTGATTGAGAAATTGGCGAATATATGTGTCGTCGACAACAACAGCGATGGCGGCGCCGGTAGTCGTACCGCGCGATTGCTGTTGACTTCGACGACTACGACGGAGATAATGACAGATCGCTTCCAACGATATAGTCTTCAGTGACGGTATGCGCAGCCATACAGTTAACAACTCGTTTGTACGCTCGGTATGATTGGCATCGACTACACCGCCAAACACTGATAGTCGGCCGTCGGGCGATACCGAAGCTGAATGAAAGTATAGACGTCGAGGCAATCGACAGGACATGAGTTGCCATTGAAGTTGACGGACATCCAGACGCCAGACATCGTCGAAAACATTGTTGTTGTCACCGATACCGGCGATTACATAGACTTTACAGTTGTTGTTGTCGTTGTCGTCGTCACTGTTGTTATCAGTAAACAACTGACGGACACATCGGTGACAACGACGGGCTTCAGTGAAAACCACTCAACTGTTCGTTCATAACATTCAGATTACATTTGGTCTGTACTTCAGTCCATTTGTCGGTCGCGATGTCAAACACAGGGATCTATAAATATATAAAAAAAATTTGTTTTTTAATAACTTTATTATACAATAAAAAATAATATTATTTGATTGAATTTATTAGTGAATTAAACACAATATTATGGCTATTATAAAGATTATTAATATAATACTAATGTTTAATAAAAAATATTTAATATTAAATAATGCAAACTAAAAGATTAATAGCTAAAAATTTAATAACAAATTTAATAATATTAGTGTTAATTAATTATTAATTATACAAATTATAATTTAAATTAAATAATCAATAAATAAATATATATATATATAATATATAAAAATATTAAAATAGAAAAAAATAATTTATAATTTATTAAAATATTTTGACAATATAGATAAGTATATTAAAAACGGCTACTCCCATCCACATTCCTAACAGTCCCCCTAAATTTGATAGGAACTCAATTCCGGTCATTTGCGGACAGTGTTCGACCAACTGATCCGTATGTCCCGAATGTTTGATATAGACTCTTAACATAGAATTATTCCAACGATTAAATTTCTTAAAACTTAAATCAATTTTTTGTTGATCTAATAATGTTGTTATATAATTAAATTCATAGCATAAATCTGGACACTGTTTATCGCAAATTTCCTGAATCGGTAGTTTACAGGAACCATAGTCTATAATTCCGAAACACGTCGACACATTTTCAACGACCAAATATTCTGGGATTAAGCTAACATCCCATGGGATACAGTTTTTATTACAGCTGATTATATTATCGTCATTATCGACACAACATCTACTTTTAGCTGCTATATGCTTTTGAAAGCACTGGTAAAGGCAATCGGATCGGGTGCGGTACTTATGTCTACCAACGGTGCCATTATAATCGTAAATATTATATTCACGACAATTGGTGTCCCACGTGGGCGGCAACCTTATGGTCTTTGTTGTTGAATATCCAATACTATAATAGTTATTCATATGTAATGAAAAAACATTTTCGTCATACAAGTTGCCGGGAGTGTTGTTTGCCGTATGCATAATTAGATACAACGGTCTATTGTCGTACAGTGTGGTGGGAAACCATTGTTTATTGTGATCGACACTAATAAATATTGAATCCAAATGTGTTTTAAATTGTCGATAATCTGGATTAAGTTCAGTAAAATAAGTCAAACATTTAGTTGGATAACCATACGCTAACATAAACGATACAATTGGCCGATAATCAATGATTTGTTTGAATTTTTTGTCAAAAACTTTAATCCTTACCGATAAATATCGGTTACTAATTGTTTTATTGTCATCAATTGAATCGTACAGCAAATCAGGCACCGTTAGATTATTTTTGTATATATCAAGTAATGGTAAATGTTTGTCGATATAATAATTAACAAACTGAACATACAAAATCAATAGATCGTTTTTCAATGTTTTATTATCATAATCACTGTCACTGAGATTGTCTATTAATTGTCTATATTTTGTATAATTTTCCCGTAATTCAGTGTATCGATTGGCCAGTGCGTCCATACGCAGAGCGTACGGAAAGCATAGGGTGAAACCCGGCAACAATTCATTGTTAAATCGGACATTATTTGTAGTAACTAATGTCTTACCGCTGTTGTATTGTTTGGTTAGTTGGTATGACTGGTATAGTAGTAGCGAAGCGCAGACAACAAAAAATAATATCTTAATAATCATTTTGCATTTCTGTCGGCCACTCATTTCCAACCATTTAGTCTTAATCTTATTAAACGGTTGTTGTTGTGAAATATTATCAGAAACTTTTAATAACAAATTACTGTATGAATATAAATCATATATCGTATTGCTATACATTTTATTACTTTTTATTATAAATTATATGTCAAATTTAAATCAAATAAAAATTAAATTTTTAGTCTATATTTTACAATATTTATTATATACTGTAATGCTATGATATAATACTTTTAATATAATACTTTAATTTATATTATATTGTTGCGGTTGTGTTGTCTTTAAGGGACTTCCCAACCACAGATAGTTTTGTTATGATTAGTTAGATCGGTCAATAGGACAGTAATTGTCAGTACACTGCGTGGGTCGGTATGAGACCAGTACTCGACACTCCAACTAATCAAAGTAACAGTTGTCTCGCGTGGGTCCGATTGAGACCAACAACTGATTGTAGTATCAACTGGTCGGCCAGTAATTGACTTAACAGTTGATGATAGGATTGCTTGAATGCCACGGTGTGTGTCACTCAAACAATAGACAGATCTGCAGTAGTGGTGACCCGAGTTAGGCCAGGGAGGAGATCCTAATATACTTGAATGACTTCTAGACTTCAGAGTTCAGTTGACCAGAGGAACAGTAGGTGAACTAGTGATGTGACGTTTCAATGACTTTACTCACAATTAATATTAATTCACTTTATTTAATAATAAGATAAAAATGTATGAATACAATGGTTGTTAACTGTAGGTATTATAAGCACATGTAGTTGAGTGTAATGGTATGAATTACTGTATAAAATGTCAGTACAGTTTGGCGGTTAGGTATACACTCTCTCTCTAGTAGTGTAGCAGTACATTGGGTTTTTATAGTGTGTGTGAGGTACAGGTATGTAATGGTATTAAATGGGTAGCTATTGGTTAGTTCAAATAAAAGACAGTTGGACGGTTAGATCGGTCTAATGGTGCCAATAGGATGACCTAAATGACCGATCATACCAGGAATAGGTGTAAATGGATAGTTGTCGGCAATAAAAGTACTTAAGTATAATATGGAATGCACTATAAAATAGGTATCAATTAAAAGGTATATAAAAATAGATATTCAAAATTATAGCTAAAAGTAATATAATAGATATCCTCAACACTCCCCCGCGTTTTAAGACTGATCCCGGAGGAAGTATGGTTCCAGTTGTCCGACGTGGATCAGGAAGGGTTCGGATGAGTCGTTGTATCGTTTAATATGCGCGTTGACGGGTCCAGGGATTGATGTCACGGTGAACGGTCCTTCATATTTCGGTGATAGCTTTTTGAAATCCGGACGATTGTATGGTATGCGCCGTTTAACCAGTTGTCCAACCTTTAGATCGATCGGGTGGTGACTTTTGTCATACGCTGCTTTAGTTCTTGCTTTGATGAGATCCGTACGATGTTTGGCCAGTCTTCGGGCTTCATGTATGTCGGTTTGGGTATTCAATGTGTCCGTTCCAAACATCAGGTACGAAGGTGTGAATTCAGTGACTGTATGAATAGTGTTGTTATAGTTATCGGTCACTCCTTTCAATAATGTTGTCCATTTTCGGCGAGGGTTAGCCAATAAAGCGATAGATAATCCCTTTTTGACCGATCCGTTGACCCTCTCATTTGTACCATTTGTCTGCGGATGATATGTAGACGTAAATAGATGTCGGATATTGCTATTAGTCAGGAATCTCTTGAGTTCTTTTGACTTGAATGTCTTAAAGTTGTCGGTTAATATAGCGTCAGGTTCGCGGCCAGTTGTCTTAATTAGATCGGTCAACACTGATATGCATGCTTGAGCCGAATTAGTTGGTGTGGCTTTAGTCCAAATATATCGCGAGTGGTGATCGATCACGACTTGTATGTATTTATGTCTTGAGTTGGCCGCTTCACTGCCCATAACTATGGTATCCATAGCGATGAGTTTGAGCGGAAGGTCTGGTGTCGGTAATGGCTGTAGTTCACCATATGGTGTATGATTCGCTGGTTTTGCCAGTTGACAGATATGACATGACTTGACATACTGTTTAATATCGTATATCATTGATGGCCAGTAATAA